TGCTTAACGCTATATAGAATTTACCTAAAATGGATTGGTAAAAATGCTTACACAGAATCCTTTTTTTTTTTTCAGAATCCATTCTTATTACACATATATTTTCCATTAAAGATCGTTTGAATAGAATATTGACTCTTGCTGAGAAATCCATGGTTGACAACTATATATATGCAGTTCCTCTAAGAAACATCAATAGTGTATCTGTATTAAGATGACTTCTCCATAAATGAAGTCCACCTTAGTAGCACACTACCAAGTTTACTTCAGAGTTGTTTATATGTCTTTTGTCTGATCATCTTCAAGTTTCCTGATTTCATTTTTCAAACAATTTATAGTTTCACGACTTGCTTTTAATCTCTTTAAGCTCTGCGATTTCAAAGCTTGTTTTTTTCTTGGCAGCTTCTAATTTTTCTCTGGTTTTCACTTCAAATTCTGCAAATTCTGTTTCATGCTTATAGGCCCCTGATGTTAGCTGATAAGATGTTGTTAATAATTGTTGCATCATTGCTGTTGGGTCTTGAAATATCATTTCATCATAGAACTCTGAAACGAGTGTCTTTTTCCCCAACATTACATTGGTGTCTGATTGGAACAGCTTTAACAAATGATACAGGGTTACAGGTCTTTCATTAGGGTCAATGAAAAATATTTTGATGATTATTTCAAATTCACTCCATCCTGTTTCAGAAATTTCATATGGAGGCTTAGTAACAACTCTTAAAGGATTGCCATAACTTTCATGTAATTTAAACTGGATTTTTTTCACATATGGTGACATATCCTCATTTCTATATGGTTTTACATATACAGTCCACTGATGGGTGTGCCTATCTTCTCTTTTCTTTCCAAAATATTGAGCCTCATTACCATAAACTGTTGGTTTAACGATAGTATCTCCCTTCACTCTCCTGCTGGAGTCAGGCCCAAATTCGGCCATTCTCTTGAATATATTGTCCCACGGAAGAAGCCGCTGCCGCTGTCAGGCTGTCAGGGAAAGAGACCGGGTCAGCGGGGTCTCTGCTCCCTTCAGAGGCTCCACTCCTCCTACGCGGCCCAGGTGGTGGGGTTCTGGTCAAAAGAGGGCAAGTCACCAGGGTTCTCATGGCTGAGTAACGGCCAAACTCCCCCTGGCTAGCGGCGATATTGCAGGCCATTCAGCCGCGGGAGAGTGCTCCTCCTAAGTTTTGCCACTCAACTATTAATCTACTTGGAGTTATTCTGATACATGATATGAGATATGAGTTAGTGTTTAAAGATAACTGCCCAGTTAAAGCTATCCAACACCATCTGAGAAATTCATCTGTCTTTGATCTTTGAAATAAGATTTTCATCTAAATGCTGGAATTCTTTTTTTTAATTATTCCTTGGTATTTATCTTTTTTTCCGCTTTTCTTCACTCCATTATAGGTCATTGTTGTCTGGGTGGGAACAAACAACCATGAAAATACAGCAGAAGAAGTAGCAGGTGGTATCGAGGCCATTGTACGACTTATCAACACAAGGCAGCCACAAGCCAAAATCATTGTATTGGTATGTAGTCTTTGGGTGGATGGAGACTTTAGTATCTTGATGTCTACTGAGGAGTCTTTTTTGAAATGCAGTTGCTCATAAATACAGAGAATATTTAGGTGGATGCAGTTTATGATACTTCTGCTGATCTATTCTCTGATATATTCCACTCTCTAATTGGTCTCATTCCCCATATTAACTTCAGTGTCATCTTTTCTCTGCTCATCCTTTTATAGAAGTGTGGAAAGCCTTTGTTGCCTTAGGTACCCTTTTTCTTCTTTTTTTTTTTAACCTCTAGTGATAAAAAATTTGGATGTAAGATTTGTCTGAATCCTGTGTGTTTTTATTAGACCTGGAACTTAGATGTATTGTTCTCTTCCATGGTTAACATGTTGAAGGTGGAGCCAGCTATGGTGAC